GATGCTCTGGTGACATGAAAGGAGGAATGACTGACCAGCTCAGCCTGCACAGATGATATATTTGAGCTCTGTCTTCAAGGGTGAAGGTCTTATAATTAATAATATTTGGTTATGGATGATTAGCAACATATAGTGAATGCTCACAGGCACATGCTAATTGCTTTACATGCATTTGGTCCTCTGAATAGACTGACCTCTAAGTTATAAATACTATTTCTGACTCTGTCAGATTGAGGACTTTGGGAAATTAAGATAATTTCCCTAAATTTTACAGTAGAAGATGACCATGAGCCTAGATGGCCTAGATCTTAATAGACTCTGAAGTCCACATTGTGAACTGTCACATTATATTGCACAAAATCCATTCTACCTAAGAGAGAAGGATGAAAGAGGCTTCAGGAAGGGGGTATTTTTACCTTGTGTTGAGATATGAAAAGGACAAGGTGAGGTGAAAACATGGAGTAATGTAGTGAAGTCTATAGTTCCATGTGTCTGCAGTAAAATTTTATTTTATTTATTTTTTTTGCAGTAAAATTTTAATGTGTAGTTAGAGTCACTTGGATTAGATGTCAAAATGCAGATTCTTTGACCCCTTCCCCAGATTTACTGTCTAAATACCTGAGGATGAGAAGCACACAAATCTGTGTTTTCACCAAAGCTTCCCAGGTGATTCTTAATGCAAGAGTTTGGTAAGTGCTGGTGCAATGCATAGAGTTGATGCTGGTGAAAGGGCAGAAGCGAGTCTGGAGAGGTAGGTGGGAGTTTGCTTCACCATTATAAACTTTTTGCTTTTATTTATTTATTTGTTTGTTCTTGGCTGTGCTGGGTCTTCGTTGCTACAGGGACTTTTCTCTAGTTGTGGCCAGCAGGGGCTACTTTCTAGTTGGAGTGTGCAGGCTTCTTGTCGCACTGACTTCTCTTGTGGAGTACGGGCTCTGGGGGTGCCAGCTTCAGTAACTGTGGCTCCCAGGCTTTAGAGCAGAGACTCAGTAGTTGTACACAGGCTTAGTTGCTCCGAGGCATGTGGAATCCTCCCGGACCAGGGATCAAACCTGTGTCTCCTGCATTGGCAGGCAGATTCTTTACCATTGAGTCACCAGGGAAGTCCCATCATTATAAACTCCTAAACTTTGTGTAGACATTTTCTTTTTCTAGTACCCAGAAGAAGTGTTTTTGTTTTTGACTGATTCTAAGATCAACCAGCTTTTGACAAAAGACACTGAGGTATATATCTTCATTTTATTATGTGTGTGATTGCTGTAAAGCTGGAGTTTCACAAAGTCAAAAGCCTTGCAGCCCTTCGGGAGTTACACTGGATTAACAGCATTGTGTAATAAAAACTGGATTTCTCAGATCCTTCCTTATACTCTTACAGTGATATGTATTGTCAAAGCTCCACGATGAGGATTTAAAATTTATCTTCTTGAACTAAGATCCAGTGAAATATGTTTTGGGAAATGTTCCTGTAAATACTTCCTCATGGAATTTACTATGTGACTTGGTGTTGAATGTTTTACCAATTTATGATGAAGGGTTAGTTTGCAAGTTCAACTGTTTTGAGTTTAATTCTTTTAATTAATAAGGAGGAAACAGTTGTCCTCAGTTTTTTTCTGGTTCTTTTCAAGGACTTCTACTTGACATACGTCTTTGAAATTTACAAATTGATACTTGCTTTATATCATTTTAATTAATTATTTTTAATTTAGAATGTTAATTATCTCTGCATATTGTGGCACTGGTCCTTGAGGAATCTGTTACCATTTACTGAGATGAACGACCAGGTCATTCATTATGGGTAACCAGTAGTTGTTTATAACTACAGTGTAAATGATTTTAAGAGCAGGATATGAGGTGTTATAGACATGTCTAAAGCATCTAAGGACTGTCAGAGAGCTCAGTTTCTCTGAGAGTTAAAATTGGGGATTCTTTTTATATTAAGAAATAGTGTTTAAATGGCGTGTGTGTGCACTGAGTTGCTCAGTCATGTCTGACTCTTTGCGACTCTATGGACTGTAGCCCATTAGGCTCCTCTGTCAGTGGGATTCTCCAGGCAAGAAAACTGTAGTAGGTTGCCATTTCCTGTTCAGGGGATCTTCCAGATCCAGGGATTGAAGCCACGTCTCTGTGTCTCCTGCATTGGCAGGTGGATTCTTTACCACTGTGCCACCTGGGAATCCCACTGTTTATTTGTTGATATCAAATATGACTTTTAAAAAGCACTTTTTTGGGTTTTTTTTTAACTTTACAATTTAAACTAATTGCTGAAACCAGTGTAAAGTTTTTCTAATATTGTTTTGCTAACTTCTGAGTTTTACCATATAATTTCTAATATACTTTTCCCAAGACTTACAATGTATTCATCGAAGTACATTGTCTAACTTGAGTCTATCAATCAGTACTTTCTTACCGCAGTGATTTCCCACTTTTCCTCCATTGTGCCACACCTGATGGGTAGAAAATCTCCTCAAAAATTGATGAGAATTCATAAGTTTCACAGTTGTTATTACATGTCATGTCCTTGGTTGGGAAGTCAAGGGTAAAGTGTAATAGATCCGTTTTGGAATGACTGCTCAGTTCATGGCATCTCTTCTTTCTTTGGGAGTGTCTCCCAGCGCTGCGCCTCTGCTTTGGCTATAATCCGTTGAGCCACAGAGTCAGGACATCCTCTATTGCCATGACCTGTTAGATCATGTCTTCTGGGAACTTAAAATTGAGGTCCAAGGCACCAAAATTTATCAATGGTGAGAGCTAAGTCTCTAGTGAAAGGTCCTTGAGTTTCCTTTCTGAGCTCTCTGAACTGCCCTGGTTCCTACCCTTCTAGAGCTTTTAACCATTCATCCCGCTACGATTCTGGAAAGATTGTTCTGGAGTTAGCCTGAAATGATTTGTGTTGTTTGCAGCTGAAATAAATTGAGTCATAAGAACATGTTGTTAGAGTTACGTCATAAGTATGTTATGGAAAGCATTCCAAAAGGCAGTTAACAATTTTCCCTTTTGCCTCCTACTTTAGTTAACTCTGCTGGTACCTGTATGTTTTGCCTTCCACCCTCAATAATGTAGTTAACTTCTTAACTCTGTCATCACAAATTAATTAAATGCCTGTTGTCTGCACACCTTTTATGGCTTAGTTTCATATAAATCCCTTCCTAGCTTTCAGAATATCACCTTTGTAATAGTGTATATTATACTATTGTTATGATGTATTTGGCCAGCTCACTAGATAATATTTCCTTAAGGTCAGGCACTGAGACACATTCAGCCTTGATTCTTAGCACCTTGTACATAGTAGACTTGAAGCAAATACTTGTTGAGTAATTATTCCTCATTAAATTATTAACAGTTAATTCTTATTATTCATTCAACAAATTCTTACTATGATTTTGTGTATACCAGACACCCTTCTGTGCTCTGAAGCACAGAGTGTGCCTTCTCAGTGAGGAAAACAGGCCAAAAAACGCCTGCCTTCTTAGGCGTCACACTCTAGATAGTTAAGTTCTTATCTATATTCTTTTAAAATATAAAAACTTAAATTATGAAGTACAGCCAAGAGTAAGCTTCTAGCAATATATGGAGTACTATATCTTGTATGGTATGAAAAAATTATGTTATTTCTCCTGTTCTAATTTAATAGATAAATGCCAGTTTTATTGGGGTAACAGGGTGTATGACTGACAAGGAATACAGCGCTATGCTGTGAGTGACCCATGATAATAAAAGAAAAATAGCTTTGGGAAATTTGAAAAGTTTATGATTTTAAAAAATTTCTTGAATAGTGTTATATTTGAATGAATATATTTATAGCAGTTACTATATCTTTGGAACTCTACTGTCAAGATGGCAGTGAAATACAGAGAGAGAAAAGCCCTCAAATTTTTATATTATAAGCTTATTTTATAAGCCTTTTATCTTGTCACTGAATTTTCTTGCTACTTAATTATTTCATCGCATGATATGGTGGGCTTATACTTTGTTTCTTTGCTCCTTGAGAGTTGATCTGTGCTAAAGTAAGTCCAGGTAATGTTCGTCATATATTATAAAGAAAAATACTGGCTCAACATATTTTTAAGGAGGAAAACTCAAATACAGAAGTACTTTACTTTTTAAGCCAGAATATTAATTACCGTATTAGTGAGAGTTCAGATACTAGAAGGGAAAAAATTCCCCACATTCTAGTTGTTAGTATTTTGATATGTTTAGTTTTATATATTTTTCTCTGCATTTAAAAAAGCACAGCTGTAATATACTTGTATCACCTTTGTACCCTAGGGTTTTCAGATTACTTCACGTGATGTTATGTTAGTATCGTTAGGTTAGTCAGTGTTTTCCCTAAAACTTAAAGTTTTTGTGCCAGGGTAACTGGGATGTATGACCAAGACTGCTCTAAACCTCAGTTTTCTTATCATGAAAAACCCTGTTCTGAGGAATGAACCATCAGGAGAGAACCTAACACTTGATATTTGGCTCTGTGAGCTACTTGCTCCCCATTTGTTCAGATTCACTTGGGAGAATGTGCTCTATGTACAGTTTGGCTCTTTAAGTAAAGTTTTATAATTCTTTTCTTTAAAATAGCTTTAACCTTATAAAACCAAAGAATGTTCCTTTTTAAAAAAGAACTTAGGTGTATGTTTGCCTGTATTTACTTAAAGAATTTATTTAGGAGCTAGAATTACATGAGAAAGTTAAGGTTTGTTTTTTTGTTGCTGTTTTTTAATCTAGCTTTTCAAAATATAACTGTGCTATAGAGTAGGTATGTGTTACAGATTTCATGAAGTCAGATTGTCTTTCCTCATTTTGATATCTAAACCGTGTTAGCCATTTCACAGATCAGTGGGCTTCTTTTAAAGTGGGGTGTTTCTATATAGTTATAGTACAAGAATTCTACATTTAAGCAGGCATACTCCTACATTTTTTTTAAAAATAGCTGAAAAATTGAACATTTTTACTACGAAACTTTTTTTTTTTTTTTTACTTTTCTAATTTTTTCTCCCTTGATTTTTCAGAATGAACCTAGTGATCGAGAAGATAGCCTCAACAAAAGACATCAGGTGACAGACTCTGACAATGATGACCCCTCAAATCTTAATGCCAGTGACTCTGAAAGTGAGGAACTCCAGAGACAAAAGGACAGTGACTCTGAATCTGAAGAGCATGCAGAGCCTCCTGCCAGTGATTCTGAAAATGAAGATGTCAATCACCATGGGAGTGACTCCGAAAGTGAGGAGACCAGGAAATTACCTGTGAGTGACTCTGAAAATGAGGAACTGCTTAATGGGCATGCAAGTGACTCAGAAAATGAAGATGTTAGGAAGCCTCCTGCCAGTGATTCAGAAGTTGAAGAGCTCCCCAAAAGTCCTGTCACTGACTCGGAAACAGAAGGTGCTCCCAAGCCTCAAGTCAGTGACTCAGAGAGTGAGGAACCTCCGAGGCACCAAGCCAGTGACTCGGAAAATGAAGAGCTCCCTAAACCTCGAATTAGTGATTCTGAAAGTGAGGAGCTTCCCAAGCCTCGGATCAGTGACTCAGAAAGTGAGGAACCTCAGAGGACTCAGGCCAGTGACTCTGAAAACGAGGAGCTTCCCAAACCCCGAATCAGTGACTCAGAAAGTGAGGACCCGCCAAGACACCAAGCCAGTGACTCGGAAAATGAAGAGCTTCCCAAACCCCGAATAAGCGATTCGGAAAGTGAGGATCCCCCACGGCACCAAGCCAGTGATTCTGAAAATGAGGAGCTTCCCAAACCCCGAATAAGTGATTCGGAAAGTGAGGACCCCCCAAGGAACCAGGCCAGTGATTCTGAAAATGAGGAGCTTCCCAAACCCCGAATTAGTGACTCTGAGAGTGAGGAGCCTCAGAAGGTACCTGCCAGTGATTCAGAAACTGAGGATGCCTCCAGACACAAACAGAAACCAGAGTCTGATGAGGACAGTGGTGGGGAGAATAAGGGAGAGGATACAGAAGTGCAGAATGACTCCCTTCCTGCAGATGCCCACGTAGACAGGAAGCGCTTCAACAGTTCCGACAGTGAGGAGGAAGAACCTAAAAGGGCCAAAATTGACAGTGATGAGGATGAAGAAAAAGAAGGGGAGGAGGAGAAAGTAGCAAAGCGAAAAGCAGCTGTGCTTTCTGATAGTGATGATGAAGAGAAAGCATGTAAGGAATTATTTTAGGCTGTTTATCAGTAGTTTTACTTATTGTCTAAACTTATAACTATGAAGCATAGTTCTGGCTTATGGGATCTTAGGTCCCTGACTAGGGATTGAACTCAGGCCCTTGGCAATGAAAGTGCAGCATCTTAACCACTGTACACCAGGAAATTCCCTCATTGGCAAGTCTTATATTAAATTTCCTTTGAATTGTTTTAGCAGTATTTGTTAAGTTCTGACTGCTTCAAGTTGATAAGATAGACTGCATGACAATGGCAATATGAAAGATTTACATGAAAATTTTTTGTTTGTTTTTTACTAGAAAGGGTAATGTTCAAGGAAATAAGTTTACATGAAAACTCAACTGTATCCAGAGTTAGCCGTGGGTCTCTTTGACAGCTAATCCCCTACATCCCATCCATACAGTGTCTGAGCTCCCACGGGTACCTGTCTTCATTTGTTAAACATCATTGAATGCCAGAAAGTTTGTGAGGTACTCTTATTTAGAGACTCGGTCTCCACAGAGTATTCCAATCTTTACTACTTGATTACTTTTTTATGAAATATCTTCTTGGAAAAGACATTCCCTTATAACCTGACAGTTATTAAAGGAGAAGGGAAGAGAGCAACGTATGTGCAGTTTGAAATTCCAGATTGAGTAGTGATGGATAATTGAGGAACGGGGATTCTACAAAAGAATACCCAAGCCTTAAGAGTTCTGCTAATACTAGGCAGCATGGAAGAGATTCTAGTCTTATTTTCTTTGTTCCCCCAAAGGAAAGGTAGTTATTGATGCCCACTTTATTTTGATGAAAAACTTCATCTTTTTGCCTCTTTTTCCTAACGTCTTCCTAATTGTAAGATGACTCTTGAGTGAATCTTTAAGTTTTTTTTAATTCTAAACTGTGTGTTATAAGACCTTTGATTTTGCCACATACTGCCATTTTAGAGCACCTGTTGTACTTAGTAACACAGTGACCATGGTGAATAAGATTAATGATGGTTTTCTTTTTCAACAGTAGCAAAGAAGAGTCGTGTTGTCTCTGATGCAGATGACTCTGACAGTGATGTTATATCGGACAAATCGGGCAAAAGAGAGAAGACGATAGCATCTGACAGTGATGAAGAAGCGGGGAAAGAACTGTCTGATAAAAAAAATGAAGAGAAGGACCTGTTTGGGAGTGACAGTGAGTCAGGGAATGAAGAAGAGTAAGTGACAGTGTAACCTAAACTTCCCAGGGTTCATATAAGGTGGTAGTAAGGAGTTTGTCTTTCAAGTTTTTTAAACTTACATTAAAATTCTGTGTTGAAGCGTAATACAGTATACCCTGCCTAACTGCATGGCTGTGGGAGATGTAGGATTTTAATTCCTCAGCTACTGCTGCATGCTATAGCATGGTTGAGTCTCAGAAATACTATCTTAAAAGTGAAAGACGTATAGGGGATGTGTTATCTAATTCCACTTATGTGAAGTGCAAGAACAGGCAAAACTAATCTGATGATAGGTAGAGTGGTGGTTGCCTCTGCGATATTTATATATTAGACTCACTACAAAGGGTCACAAAGGAACTTTCTGGGAGATGGAGTTGTTCTATTAAGATAATGGTTACATAAATGTGTGCTTTTGTCAAAATCCATTGAAGCGGACACATGAGACCTACTTATTTTACTATATGTAAATTATACCCTAGTAGAAAAAGATTTCATGATTCCTATGCAATTGAGAAGAAAACAAATGAAAATTGTTTATATTTCTTTTCTAGAAATCTTATTGCAGACATATTTGGAGAATCTGGTGATGAGGAGGAGGAAGAATTTACAGTAAGTATAAGATGGAAATATTTCCTCTTTATGGTTTTTTTGTTTGTTTTTATGGCAGTGGGTCTCTATTAAGAGATTCCAGTAAGTAAGAACAAACAACTATGATGTATCCAGCAGAATAATGTAGAAAAAAGGTATTCAGAAAGTGAAAGGGTCTACAAAGGCATAAAAGGAATATAACAGGCAAAATTGTATTAAGGGCAGGAAGGAACACATTAAAGTACAATGAAAGGCACTTTATAATGCTAAAGATAGAGATTCACAGTAATTATGGAACTTCTAATTATAGCAATGGCAGGCAATGTAATTTGTCTTTCTGCTAAGGACAACTACAAAAGCTAGACAAAATGTTTCAAAAAGTTGCTCATCATCATAAAAATAGGTAAAACCCAGCAAAAGGTAGAAACCTAAAGAGGTAAGCTCAGCATTTAGAATTGCTTTCTCTGGGCTATTCATGTAGTTAGGCTGAAAGGGTAAGTTTATTTTTAGTTGCCTCAAGGCTCAAGAGACAAAACTTTGAGGTCAGGGCCTGCTGAGGTTAGGTGACCCTGAAAACTCCATGGTCTGGATTGAGATTCCTAAGATTAGGGATGAACTGGAAGTTAAAATAGCCTTTGCTCAGATTTTAGGCTACATTTGAGTCATCTAGCACATGGAGAACCTCAGTCTCAGAAGTTTGATTACAGTGATTAGCCCATTGGCTGGCTCTCAGGAACCTGATATATTCGAACAGAAATCCTTTCAGAACAGGGGCTTCCCTGGCAGTCCAGTGATTAAGACTGTGTTTCCACCACACGAGACTTGGATTTTATCCCTGGTCAGGGAACTAAGATCCCTCATGCCAAAACGTTTAAAAAAAAAAAAAAACACCTTTCAGGACAAAGTTAACATAATCATAGACCTCAGATTATTTCTGTAGTTTTTCAAATACATAATACACACATAACAATTTAAAAGCAAACAGTAGTAGCAACAGACAGTAGAAATAGACCTAAGGGCTCTAGATATAGAAATTTTTGATAGTACCTATGTTCAGCAAGATAAAAAATTAAAAAGTTTCTTAGAGCAAATAGTTGTGTGTGTGTTTTTAAAAAATATTTGGAAAAGAATCAAGTAGAAATTCTGGGGACTTTCCTGGCGGTCCACTGGTTAAGTGTTCACCTTACAGTGCAGGGGATGAGGGTTCGATCTCTTTTCAGGGAACTGGGATCCCATATGCCGCAGAGCAGCTAAAGTCCATGTGGCGCAGCTACTGAGCCCGCACACTCTGGAGCCCATATACCACTACTGGAGAGTCAGTGGGCTGAAAGGAGAGATCCTGCGTGATGCAGCAAGGATCCCGTGAACCACACTGGGACCCAGTGTGGTTAAATAAATAAATTAGTTTAAAAAAAACCTCTGAAACTGTGAAAATACAATAACTGAAAATTAAAACTTGGTGGATGAGTTTAACAAAAGAGTAGACATATTTGACAAGAAAATGAGTGAATTGGAAGGTAAGTTAGAAGGAACTATGTAGAATGAAATACTGAGATATTAGTGTAGAAAATGTAAAAAGCATAATGAGAAGGTTTAACAAGGTGAATTGGAATCCTCAGAGGAGAAAAGAAAAATGTATGTATATCAGAAGCAGTATTTAAAGAAACAATTCATAAATCATAGAGTCTAGAAGTTCTGCTGATTACAAGTAGGATAAATACAAACCAATCTGCCCCTAAATACATCACAATAAAATTGCAGGAAAGTCTTGAAAGCAGCCAAAGGGCAGTAAACAAGTACATTCGGAGATGAGTGGGTTGCCATGCCCTTCTGCAGGGGATCTTCCCAGTCCAGGTCTCCTGCGTGGCAGGCAGATTGCTTACTGTCTGAGCCACCAGGGAAGCCCTCAGCGGGGCAGAAGTTACTTTAACACCTGACTTGTCAGTGGAAGCAGTCAGTCTAATCCAGTAACTAAAGCTTAGGGGTTCTTTTGTGTTCTACGCAAATGAAGATTCCCTCCTTATTTTATCTTATCAAAATGCCAGCTGAAAGAAGTAGTAAATGCAGAAAGAATATCTCAGGCAGAAAGTCAGGGATGCAGGAAGGAAAAAAGGAACAAAAGCATGTGGCTCAGTCTAAATGGGTAGTGATCATGCAAGCCAAAGTCACGTTTGGTATGGTTTAAAATGTGTTTAAAATTAAAACATGATGGCAGTAACAAATTGGGCATTTACATGAAATTGAAATGTTCACAGGTCTTTGCAAAGGTATGTGAAAATACATTAGTAGTCTTTGGTAAGTCAGGATGTACGTTTTAATCTCTAAAAATACTATTGGAATGTGTAACTTTCAACCAATAGAAAGGAAAAATGAAATAATAAAAGCTAATCAATCCAAAAGAAGGCAAAAAAGAAAAATAAAGGAAATACGAAACAGGGGGACAGTTAGAAAGTAGTAAATGGTAAGATAGCAGAGAATAACTTTGATAATATCACACTGAAATGTATTAAGTGCTCCAGTTAAAGAACAAATTTAAAAAGACTAGATTTTTAAAAGGAGCATATATATACTTATTTCAAAATTTATCCAAAACAGAAGATAAAGAAACAATGAAAATAAAAGAATGGAAAAGGATACGTTCTCTGAACATTAACCACAAGAAAGCCGATGTAACTATATGAATATCAAAGAGGTATAATTTAAGGCAAAACCCATTGTTCGAGATAAAGAGGGTCACTTTATATTGGAAAAAGGTTTTAAAATTGTACCTAGCCATGTCCTTAGTAACATGGCTTTAAATACATATAATGTATGCAAAGCAAAAATCGACAACTGCACAATTCTATAAGTGAAATGCAAACAGTAGAACCATCAGACCAAAAAATGCCACCAAAGATAGAAGAGAGTCTCTTTTTTTTAATTAAAATTTTTTTTGTCCTGGACCTCATTACTGTATGGGGGCTTTCTCTCATTGCAGAGAGCAGGGGCTACTCTGGCTGTGTTTGTGGGCTTCTCAGCGCAGTGGCTTCTCTTGTTGGGGAGCACAGGCTCCAGGCACATAGGCTTCAGTCACTGCAGCATTCAGGCTCAGCACTTATGGTACATGGGCTTAGCTGCTCTGTGCCATGTGGACTATTCCCAGACCAGGAAGTGAGCCCATGTCCCCTGCATTAGCAGGCGGATTCTTACCTGCTCTACCACCGGGGAAGTCTGAGAAGTTTCTCTTTTTATATAATCCAGATATAGAAACCCTTTGGATATTATAAAAGATAAAAATATCTTCTATTCAGTGGCTTGCCTTTTCACTTTCTTAATGGAGTCTCTAATGAGCAAAAGTTTTTTAGTGTAAATCTGCTTTACCAATCTTTTGCTTTATGTTGAAAGTTTTTCGAATTATAGGAAAATTTTGCCTGTTCCCAGGGTTATAAAAACATTCTTGTGAGTAATTCTTCAGAATCTTGCTTATCTTTTCATTTAATTTTTATAGTCTATCTAGAATGAGTTTTTATGTGCAGTATGTGGGCTTTCTTGGTGGTTCAGTGGTAAAGAATCTGCCTGTGGATGCAGGAGACACAAGTTAGATCCCTGGTTCAGGAAGATCCCCTGAATAAGGAACTGGCAACCCACTCCAGTGTTTTTGCCTGGAAAATCCCATGGACGGAGGTGCCTGGTGGGCTGCCGTCCATGGAGTTGCAAGAGTCAGACACGACTGAGCGACTAAAAAACAAGCAAGTTCAATATGTGTGAGATAGTCAAGATTTCTGCGCCCCCCCCCACCTCAGTTAACCCAGATTATCCTCTTCCACTGCTCTGTAGTGACATCTTTGTCGTAAATCAAGTGTGTATATATATCTTCTAGTCTTTTTCTGAACTATCTTTTCTGTTCCATTGGTCTGTCCTTGTACTGTTAATGCATAACTCTTGATATTTGGTTTTTTATTCCCTTCAAGTTTGTTTTCCTCAAAGTTTGCCTCGACTTTTCTTGGTTCTTTGCATTTCCAAATAAAATTTAAACTTTTGCCGAACACAGAAACCATAGCCAGCATTTTCTGAATGCAATGAAATTAAAAGTCAGAAACAAAATTAGCAAATAAAACACCCTTGTCATCCAGAGAAAGTTAAAACTTACTTGTTAAACAATTCTTATGTTGAAAAAGAAGTCAGTACTTTCATTACTAAAGCTAGAGAGAATGAAAGTAGATGAATTTAGAGTATAGTTCAAGATGGTAGAAAAATAGCAAATCCAAAGAAAAACAGAAAAGAATTCACTCAATGAATATTACCCTGTATGCCAGAGATTGTTTGGACATTGCCCTCATGGGGCTTATACTCAACATTAAGCCACATTTACAAGGACAAGACATATTTTTCTAGTGTGGAGAATGGACATCAGTTGGATTATAGGTTCAGTTCAGTGAGAAAAACAGCATACTAGGGAAAGCATTGGAAAGGCCTTTCTAAGTATAATATGAAAGTTACAAGCTATGAAGAAAAGACTGGCCATTTAAGTTAAAAAATTGTGCCTGGAAAACATTATCATAAACAAAATCAAACTGTATTTGCAAAACAGTACAGGTGTGAGGATTGTGCTGTTCCTGTCACATAACAAGTGCTGATTCCCTAATTTTTAAAGAGATTTTTTACACCAGTAAGACAAAGATCCAGTGGGAAGATGGCCACTGGATATTGAGAGTTCACAAAGAAATAGTAACAGATAGCTTTGAAACCTGAAAAATGCCCAGCCTTACTCATAATAATAAGTGGATGCAGAGAAAACTACAGAGACGTCTTGTGCTAATGTCAGTGCTTGATAACCTGCTCTAGTCATGAGAAGGTGAGGAAACAGGTTCAGTTGTGTTTTGCTGGAAGGAGAGTTAGTGGTATAATCAGTTTGCAGATATTTCTCAAAATTTCAAGTACATATACCTAAGTGACAATAGGGAAATATTTAAATTATGTCTGCAATGGTTTGATGAAATCATCTAAAGCCTTAAAAACTTAAAGGTAGTTTATACCAATATCAGTTTGACTCCAGATTCTTTTGCTAGATGTGAAATGTGCACAACAGTATTCTGTACTCAGTGTGTATAGTAAAAGAATGTAGTAAGTAGAAGTGCTTCTGTAAGCATAAGTGTTTCTGGAAGGAGACAAGAAAACCAGTAACACTAATGGCTAGAGTGGGAGGGAGCTTTTTTGCTATATGTTTTTTGGTGTCCAAGAGCAAGCAGTTACACGGAAGAGTCTGTAATGAGGTTGTGATAACTGACTAACTTACCCTGCATTTAGGGTTTTAACCAAGAAGATTTGGAAGAAGAAAAAAGTGAAACACAGGTAAAAGAAGCAGAAGATTCAGATTCTGATGATAACATAAAGAGAGGAAAACAGTAAGTTTATTTGTTTTTTAAAGGACTTTGTTAAAGAGAACTTTTAAAATGAGATGAAGACTAACAGACTTTGTTTTTCTTATTTTGGTTCCTGATTAAGTGTAGGAAAGAACCTTCCATTTTTGTTCTCCCGTCTACTTCTCTATGTACAGTTGCTATCTGAAAATTATTTGCACTTGTTATTTTTCTTTCATTTGCCCTGTGCTCAGTTATTTTTGTGGAGCTATTTGGTTGTCAGGCTTTTAAAATTCATATCTCAACTTACTTTTCAGTCTGAAAAGTAGCCCAGTAAAAGTTCATTGAGAAAGAGAAAGCTGATTCAGGAGTCCTGGGGTGGGTGGGGGGGGGGTGGGCAGAGTTTTATATGCAGAATACTGCTTGATTGTATTTCACATACTTTTGTTGAGATGATTGGAATCTGTGCAGAAAAATCTGGTGACTTGAAAGGTGCCAAACATTGAAAGACTTGTTAGTTACTGTTAGGGTTATAAAGATGATACTGTAATATCAGTATCACGATATTAAATGATAGTTTTCTTCTTAATTCCTAGTGACATGCAAGAATTAAGCTGAGAGAGTTTCCAATACCTTTGGAAATTAAATTATATAAACCGTATCATTTTACTTCAGTTACTCAGTCGTGTCTGACTCTTTGTGACTCCATGAACCATAGCACGCCAGACCTCCCTGTTCATCACCAACTCCCGGAGTCCACACAAACCCATGTCCATTGAGTCAGTGATGCCGTCCAACCATCTCATCTTCTGTTGTCCTCTTTTCCTCCTGCCCTCAGTCTTTCCCAGCATCAGGGCAGAGAGCATGTTAGCTCCCTTGTTAAGTGTAAAGATTCAGTTGAATGCTTAGGAAGGCTTTTTGAGGCTCTTAGCAGATATGTATATTTCCATCTTTATCCACCTGACCTGCCTCTTGAGAAACCTATATGCAGGTCAGGAAGCAGCAGTTAGAACTGGACACGGAAGAACAGACTGGTTCCACACAGGAAAAGGAGTACGTCAAGGCTGTATATTGTCACTCTGCTTATTTAACTTATATGCAGAGTACATCACGAGAAACGCTGGGCTGGAGGAAGCACAAGATTCCCGGGAGAAATATCAATAACCTCAGATATGCAAATGACACCACCCAGAAAGTGAAGAAGAACTAAAGAGCCTCTTGATGAAAGTGAAAGAGGAGAGTGAAAAAGTTGGCTTAAAGCTCAACATTCAGAAAACTAAGATCATGGCATCTGGTCCCATCACTTCATGGCAAATAGATGAGGAGACAGTGGAAACAGTGGCAGACTTTATTTTTTGGGCTCCAAAATCACTGCAGATGGTGATTGCAGCCATGAAATTAAGAGACGCTTACTTCTTGGAAGGAAAGTTATGACCAACCTAGACAGCATATTAAAAAGCAGAGACATTACTTTGCCAACAAAGGTCTGTCTAGTCAAGGCTATGGTTTTTCCAGTGGTCATGTATGGATGTGAGAGTTGGACTATAAAGAAAGCTGAGTGCAGAAGAATTGATGCTTTTGAAGAAGACTCTTGAGAGTCTCTTGGACTGCAGGGAGATCCAACCAGTCCATCCTAAAGGAGATCAGTCCTGGGTGTTCACTGGAAGGACTGATGTTGAAGCTGAAACTCCAATACTTTGGCCACCTGTTGAGACCCTGATGCTGGGAAAGATTGAGGGCAGGAAGAGAAGGGGATGACAGAGGATGAGATGGTTGGATGGCATCACCGACTCGATGGACATGGGTTTGGGTGGACTCTGGGAGTTGGTGATGGAATGGGAAGCCTGGCGTGCTGCGGTTCATGGGGTCGCAAAGAGTCAGACATGACTGAGTGACTGAACTGAACTGAGCTGATCTTTATCTCAGTCATATTATGTTTTGAGAGAAGTACACATTATGTACTTGTTGTTACTAAGAAACAGCAGTTTTTTCCCCTAGTTATTCCTATATAAGACAGAAGTATTTAGATGATTGAACACCACTCTTTCCCTTCCCCCAAAAAGCAATGCAGTTAAAACTAAACCATGGAGTGACAGGTAAAACTTGAAATTTGAAATGTGTTTTATGTGTAACAGTTGGGAGAGTGGAAAAATTGAGCATAAAATTTATGATCACTTGTTCTGTTAAAAACAATTTTAAAAGTACTTGTACTTTAAAAAAAGGTAGCACTTCATTGAGTTAGAGTTTTAAAAATTGGTGGTTCTTAACTCATAAAAGAAGATTTGTATTTAAAAGCGAATTTATATTTTACTTGATTTTGTGTTACTGCTTAGCATGGACTTTCTGTCAGACTTTGAGATGATGTTACAGCGGAAAAAGAGCATGAGTGGCAAGCGCAGACGTAACCGTGATGGTGGTACTTTTATTAGTGATGCTGACGATGTTGTGAGTGCCATGATTGTCAAGATGAATGAAGCTGCTGAGGTGAGTCACTTGCAGCTTCATCCTTCTTTCTCTCACATAATTGGTTATGTAGCCTGTTTTGTTTTTTGGCCACACTTTGTGGCTTGCAGGATCTGAGTTCCCCAACCAGGGATTGAACTCATGTTCTTGGCAGTGAAAGCACCAAGTCCAAGCCACTTGACCACCAGGGAATTCCTGCTTTAAAAAAAAAAAAAAGCTTAATTCTTGCTTAATTTACATTTACATTTACATTAGATACATAAGTATCTACTTAATTTTTTTAAGATAAGCATTTAATGTTTTAAATGTTAAGCATGGAAAATTTTAGTAGTATGTTTTAGGGGAAAAAAAGGAAGACTTGAGTATTTAGTAAAATGGGCCTTTTTGGCTGAATTGGTTTGCCTTTTTCATAATATTTTGCTATTTTATTTATTTGGCCACACAGTATGTAATTCCTCAACCAGGGTTCAAACCTGCACCCTCTGCATTGGAAGTATGGCATGTTAACATCTGGACTGCTAGGGAAGTCCCTGGTTTGCTGTTTTTATGGAGGAATGATTTTGCTCTCAGGTTTGGCTAGTTTACCACAAAGTGATGTTTCTTCACATACAAAAAAATTATAAACTTATGCCTACTAGGTTTTAACTCGTGTCATGCTTTTGCCTCTGATTAAGAGATTACATTTAATTCATTGCATTTTAAAATTGTGCTCAAATTGTAAAAATTGGCCAAATACAATGATTAAAAACAAATCCTGCTCTTTTAGAGGCACTTGCTGAGGTATTTTGCTATGTGTGTAGGATTTGTTCCAGAATAATTCAAGGGTGAAGGGGAAAGCAGCTAGAGAAATCAGTAAGCAAGATTGGTCATGTGTGTTTAATTGTTGAAATGTGTGTGTCAGGAGTGTATAATTTTGTTTTCTGTTTGTAGAATTTAAATTTTCTACAGTTAAAAAAGCAGAGGAAATTCCTTGGTGGTCCAGTGGTTAGGACACCAAGATTTTGTTGCCAAGGGCCTGGGTTTCAGTCCCTGTTTGTGAAGCTTTAGATTCCCATAAGCCTTGCAATGCGGCCAAAAAAAAGTAGGGGAAAAACCCCCAAATATCAAAGACTAAAAGTTTTTAATAACATATTCTTTTCTTACAAACCGCATAGCCAGAATATTATTTTTGATGATAAACTAAATTTTTCCATGTATAATTTGTACATTGAATGAACTCTGAAAATCTGACAGTTGTGCCAGTAGTTTAAATTAAAATTGTTACTCTCGATTTGTAGTCGTTAAAACTAATTATTCTAACAATTTTGTGGGTTTTGGCTCTACAAAATGCCTCTACTATATGTAGTTCTTTCTTGTAGGAAAACCTCTAGTGTCTCAGAGAAATTGCTACTTTGTTATATCTAAAGCTTAGAATTTCAGTGTTAATAATTTGCTATTAGCAATTGTTCTCTGACAAATATGGTATATTAACACATATATATGGAATCTAAAAAGATGGTACCGATGAATCTATCTGCAGGGCAGCAGCTGAGACAGAGAAAAGACTTATGGGCATGGAGGGAAGGAGAGGGTGGGACGAATTGAGAGAGTAGCATTAAAACATATACATTACCATATGCAAAATTAGATAGCCAGTGGAAATTTGCTGTATTACTCAGGGAGCTCAAATCCAGTGTTCTGTGACAATCTAGAGAGACAGGATAGGGTGGGAAGAGGGAGGGGACATATGTATATCTGTGGCTGATTGATGTTCATATATAGCAGAAGCCAACACAATATTGTAAAGTAGTTTTCCTCCAATTAAAAATAAATTTTTTTAAAAGTGAAAAAGAAAAAGCCATTGCTTTCTTTTTACTTTTTTTTAGAAAAATCTTTTTCTTCCTATAGGAAGACAGACAGTTGAATAATCAAAAAAAACCAGCACTGAAAAAATTAACATTATTACCTACTGTGGTCATGCACCTTAAGAAGTAAGTATTCTCTTTTCTTAAAAAAAAGCTTTCCTTTTAATGGAATGGTATTCAAGCTATGTATTGGTGTTCTAGAGACATTAAAGAATGATCGCCTTCTATGAGTTTACAGAAAAATAGTAATGAATAGAATGTCCTAAATTATTACTTTCTCACAGATATTTCTTAAACTTTTATGCCTGATAGAAACAGAACAAATAGCAAGCTGATGTTAATGAAAGAAAACTTGGAAACTACTAATTTTTTCTTTATACACTACAGATTGGGTCTGTTTTTCCAGAGTGATTGAGAGCAGAGCAAATCCTGGAAGACTACTTGAAGGATGTATTGAACCAGACTCCTTCCACCTGTTATATCATGAATTTTATCTTTGTATTAGTACACCAATTAGCCAGACACATGGTCTAGGACTTTCTACGAGAAAATTGGCACCTCTATGCCAACAGAGAAAATTATCTGTGCCAGACTTCATATATATGATATCATGTTCCCTGTTAACATAATTGATCTGGTACATAAAATGGAATTTGAATAGTAATCAGTATTTCATAGTGATTTTTTTCTGCTGGGAGAGTGGTGGTATTCCTGCCTGCAAATTCTGGGTTCTCTATTACTTGAAACAGTTTAAGGATCACTATTCTCATAGGTTCAACATAATTTTTAAGTGTGATAATTGAAGCTCATTATTCTTATTGTCTGCACCATTCATATCAGCATTAGCCTACCCTCGTGTAATTTGGTGTGTTTTTGGGGGGGTTGGGGGTGACGGGCTATCTTTAACAAATCATCTTTCCTTGCGTATCATGTCTGTTTCTTGAAAATAGGAACTAAATTTCATAGAGCTGTTGAAATCTATGAACAGGTGCTCAGTAAATAAATGCGTAATTTTTTTTTAAAGCAGTTTTTGGAAACATCACTAAATACATAAGAAAATCAAAGGAAGCTATAGTAGAACCAGCATTCATAGACTTGACCTTCTTTTCTTTTATTGTTATTATTTTAGGCAGGACCTTAAAGAAACATTTATTGACAGTGGTGTGATGTCCGCCATCAAAGAATGGCTCTCCCCTCTACCAGATAGGAGTTTGCCAGCACTGAAGATTCGAGAAGAGCTGCTGAGGATTCTGCAAGAGGTGATAGGCAGATAATCTGACTTGTTTGCTCTTCATTGATTATTTGACATGGCTTGTATTATCATAACCTCTGCATTTTACTGTGTATTTGTGTATTCTGTCTGCCATAGCCTATCAGAAGAGTTGTATTAGGTATGTTTATTAGGAGCATACCAAGTAAAATGAACTTAAAAAGAAGGCCTTTTCAAACTTCTTGTGACTATGGTATTGAAGAAGAAAGATCTTGGAGTAGCTCTGGTTTATCTGAGAAGAGTAGTATGGTAGTGGGTGTGTTTTAGGGAGGCACTTGAAGTAGAAGGGGCACCGACTTCAGCCTCAGATGTGCCTTTAAGTCTTGGTCTGAGCCACCTTTATGTGGTTGTGACACCTTGGGCAAGCTGCTTAACTTCTGAAGGAATTCCCGAGGAACCTGCTATGTGCTAGGTGTTTTTTAAACGTATAGGTTCATTTATTCCTCACAGCAAACCTGCAGGATAGATGTATTATCTCCATTTTACAGATGAGGAAATTAAGACTCAGAGAAGTTCAATGACTTGTCTAAGGTCACAAAACTAACAAGTGGCTGTGGGTTCAGATGTAGGTCTGTTTGGTTCAGAGACCTGAGAGGACCCTCGAATTGTTAAACTGCCAACCTCTTGAGGATGCTTCGTTTACACTTTCTCACACTGTTAAGTTTTAATTCAGCCCAGTGGTAGTACTGAACTCTGACCTCCTTATGGGAACACAGAATGTCTTTGTGTTCAATGACTACAGATACTGAAAATAGAACTTTTTTGTTGTTTGTTCTGCTGTGAATGAACCAGGTGTTGCAGGCCCACTAGAGTAGATTGACAGGACTCCCAGCTTCTTAATGATTAATATGTGTGTATGTGTTTATGTTCCCCAGCTACCTAGTGTGAGCCAGGAGACCCTGAAGCATAGTGGGATTGGACGAGCAGTGATGTATCTCTATAAACACCCCAAGGAATCAAGGTCCAACAAGGACATGGCAGGGAAATTAATCAGTATGTACATTTTGCTTTTTGTTTCTTGTGTTTATGTTTATAGAGAGACATGTATATATATAAACTAACTATATTTTTACCAGTATTCTTTTAAAATGAGTCTGAAATGAAGTAGAAAAATTTTTGATAACTTCCTATAGATACCAAGCTTTTAATCCTTAGACTTAAAATGCTTCTCAGTATATTTAAGTATGCTATCCCAGTATATAACAAAAAAAATAATGCATTTGCTAATTATGGATCAAGAGCATGTATAGAGAGAGGGAGATTGGAATATAGGCCCTAGAGTCAGTCATGCCTGGGTTTCCGTTTACCACCTGCCTTACTGCATATCCTTGGGCTCGTGATTTAAGCTGTAAATCAGGTTTCCTCCTCTGTAAAACAGAACTGTGTATTTAATTTAGTTTGTCTTAAAGATTAAACAAGATGTAGATAAGGTATGGTGCCTAGAATACAGTAAATCCTCAAGAAATGTTAGCTGCTGCTGCTACTGTTGTCACTTTTATAACGATCTCCAAAGCCTTTTGTGTGTTATTGCTTAATGATACCAGAGAAATCCCAAGAAGTCTTAACTGAAATTTATCTGATCAGTCGCTGTATTGAACACCATGTGTGTTTTCATCCCCCTCGTTAATTCTTCCTGTGCTTTGTGTTGGAAAGATTTTTAAACTTATAAGACTAGATTGAGATAGTAACTACTTTTATGTCTGAATTGGAGAAGGAAATGGCAACCCACTCCAGTACTCTTGCCTGGAAAATTCCATGGATGGAGGAGCCTGGTGGCCTACAGTCCATGGGGTCACAAAGAATCGGACAGGACTAAGCGACTTCACTTTCACTTTTACTTTATATCTGAATACAGTAGTTACTTGCCTATTGCTATTTTAAGATTATCAAAAACTTTTAGAAGAAATTTAATTTTTTTAATAAACTAGAGGAGTATTAACATCTTGTTATTAACCTGCAGTTTACTGCCTATTAAATAATAAGCTTTTGATGCTTTGATGCACTGGTTTTCAACCTTTTTGCCCTAGGCAGAGGGAAGCAGGCTGTTCGTACTGATACTCATGATGTACTACAAGTGATTCTGAATCCAGAGGTGGGGAAGGCATGTCAGTTTTTAAAGAGATATAGACCCCCTGAGACTCCTTGCTTCCTTCTTAGTTTGATGACACCTGTGTTCTGTCTGTAACGGTCCTTTATTGTTTTGATAGTGTATACCAGGGGAACCAGATCAGACAGCAGGAGGTGAGCAGCTGGCGAGCAAACAAAACTTCACTTGTATTGACAGCTGCTCCCTATCACTTGCATTACCACCTGAGCTCTACCTCCTGTCAGATTAGCAGTGGCATAATAAATGTAATGCACTTTAAACCATCCCAAAGCCATCACACGCACATACATGTCCATGGAAAAATTGTCTTCCACAAAACTGGTCCCTGGTGCCAAAAAGATTGGGGACCGCTAGCATATAGAGTCGGAGAAGGCAATGGCACCCCACTGCAGTACTCTTGCCTGGAAAATCCCATGGACGGAGGAACCTGGTGGGCTGCAGTCCATGGGGTCGCAAAGAGTCGGACACGACTGAGTGACTTCACTTTCACTTTTCACTTTCATGCATTGGATAAGGAAATGGCAACCCACTCCATTGTTCTTGCCTGGAGAATCCCAGGGACGGCAGAGCCTGGTAGGCTGCCGTCTATGGGGTCACATAGAGTCAGACACGACTGAAGTGACTTAGCAGCAGCAGCAGCATATGGAGTGGATAGCCATTCCCTTCTCCAGGGGACCTTCCTGACCCAGGGATGGAACCCAGGTCTCCTGCATTGCAGGCAGATTCTTTACTCTCTGAGCCACCAGGGAGGCCCATATAATGCAGCAATAAGAACAAAAACATCAAATGGCACCTCTGGCCTTTTGCTGGCTAAACAGTGTGCATGTAGAACGTCTTTATGTGTGCACTTTCGTTAACAGCTTTCTTAGACTTGAATATAGGTCTGACGTCTGCACTATCAAAAGGTAATTTTTAAAGGTTTAAACCACTTTGACAACTAAGTAATAAAGGAGCTTGTTTTTGGTTATAATAAGAACATAGAGAATTTCAAGGTTTTCTGTTTTCAGTATTTGTAAACAATGTGATCAACAAGGCTTAATATCCAGAATATACAAACACTTCATACTACTCAGTATTTTAAAAAAAAATCAGAAAATGGGCAGAAGACTTAAATAGACATTTATCCTATAAATGGTCCTGAAATAATGGTGTCTTTAAGGAGAGAATATTCTGAATGCCTAGACTATGACATTACCATAGGTTGTGATTATTTCAAGAATGCCACTCTGTTGACTAAATAATTAATTTCCCTTTGTTGTAGATGAATGGTCTCGGCCTATATTTGGTCTTACCTCAAACTACAAAGGAATGACAAGAGAAGAAAGGGAGCAGAGAGACCTAGAACAGATGCCCCAAAGGCGAAGAATGAACAGGTATGAGGGAACAGGTATGAGTAAGTGAAGTAAATACTATTGCTCTGATAACTCAGGGTTTTTGTTGTTGTTGTTTTTTCTTTTTGTAAATAAAGATGATTAAGAAACCCATAAGATGATAAGAGTTTGTCTTTCTGCTTACTATCTCTTGTAGTTCATAATACCATTTAAGTTTAAATGTGGGTAGTGTCTAGTGAAGCTTGTCACTTGCTCCCCCCAGACTTTTCTGGTTGCATCTGGTGTCTGCCACCGTTTTGGGGGTTGCTTCTGTTGTTGCAGCCACTTACAGGAACAACTTTCTTAGTCCCATTTCCAGATTCTTAGGGGGGAAAGATATTACTGGTTAAATTTGTATCCATAAACTGGATACAGTTGCATCTAGTAAGATCATTACAGGTGCGTGAAACCTGATGTGCAAATGATAACTGAAATAAATAGTACTAAGGTTAGGAATTATTTTCTCTGATCCAATATAAAGGACCTCATTGTGATCTGAGTTTGATATTTCACTTTGCTCTTTTCCCCTTAATTATAAAGTTCTAACATTCCTAATATCTCATCAATTGCTTTTTTCCCAGCACTGGTGGTCAGACACCCCGAAGAGATTTGGAAAAGGTGCTGACAGGAGAGGAAAAGTAAGATTTTTTTGTATTGATTTACTTCTTAGATGATATTGTGAATGTTCTTGCTGCCTTAAGAAAAATAGCAAATGAAATGATGGTTCAGAGTGGTGGGGGATGATTTCTAGTGTAGCATTTATTGGATATCCACACTGTATTGGTGCTTTGGAGACTACAAGAAGATTGAAAAATAGTCCGAGTAAAGATTTTGTTGCCACTTGCTATATAATAAACTGTGTTAGGCTCCAGAAATACAGAATCATATTAAAAGTAGTCCATTCTCTGAAAGTCTTTAGAGGAATCAGAGGCAAAGGGAGAGCTTAAGCAAAGATGTAGGGTAAGCACTCAAGGCCTATTTTAGGGATGGTTAGTAGCCGAAATCAGATTGATTCTATTCTTTGCAGCCAAAGATGGAGAAGCTCTATACAGCCAGCAAAAACAAGATGGGAGCCGACTGTGGCTCAGATCATGAACTCCTTATTGCCAAATTCAGACTTTCTTTTTTTTTTCCATTTATTTTTATTAGTTGGAGGCTAATTACTTTACATCATTGCAGTGGTTTTTGTCATACATTGAAATGAATTAGCCATGGATTTACATGTATTCCCCATCCCGGTCCCCCCTCCCACCTCCCTCTCCACCCGATCCCTCTGGGTCTTCCCAGTGCATCAGGCCCGAGCACTTGTCTCATGCACCCAACCTGGGCTGGTGATCTGTTTCACCCTAGATAATATACATGTTTTGATGCTGTTCTCTTGAAACATCCCACCCTCGCCTTCTCCCAGAGTCCACAAGTCTGTTCTATACATCCGAGTCTCTTCAAATTCAGACTTAAATTGAAGAAAGTAGGGAAAACCACCATATCATTCAGGTGTGACCTATATCAAATCCCTTACGATTATACAGTGACAAATAGATTCAAGGGATTAGATATCGTAGACAGAGTGCCTGTAGAACTATGGATGGAGGTTCGAGACATTGTACAGGAGGCAGTGATCAAGACCATCCCAAGAAAAAGAAATGCCAAAAGGGAAAATGGTTGTCTGAGGAGGCCTTACAAATAGCTGATCAAAGAAGGGAAGCTAAAGGCAAAGGAAAAAAGGAAAGATATATCCATTTGAATGCAGAGTTCCACAGAATAGCAAGGAGAGAGAAAAAAGCTTTCCTCAGTGATCAATGCAGAGAAATAGAGGAAAATAACAGAATGGGAAAGACTATAGAGAAAATTAGAGATATCAAGGGAACATTTCATACAAATATGGGCACAGTAAAGGACAGAAATGCTATGGACCTAACAGAAGCAGAAGATATTAAGAAGAGGTGGCAAGAATACACAGAACTATACAAAAAAGGTCTTCATGACCCAGATAACCATGATGGTGTAATCACTCACCTAGAGCCAGACATCCTGAAATGCAAAGTCAAGTGGGCCTTAGGAAGCATCACTCGGAACAAAGCTAGTGGAGGTGATGGAATTCCAGTTGAGCTATTTCAAATCCTAAAAGATGGTGCTATGAAAGTGCTATACTCAATATGCCAGCAAATTTGGAAAACTCAGCAGTGGCCACAGGACTGGAAAAGGTCAGTTTTCATTCCAATCCTGAAGAAAGACAATGCTAAAGAGTGTTCAGACTACTGCACAATTGCACTCATCTCACGTACTAGCAAAGTCATGCTCAAAATTCTCCAAGCCAGGCTTCAGCAGTACGTGAACTTCCAGATGTTCAAGCTGGACTTAGAAAAGGCAGAGGAAGCAGAGATCAAATTGCCAACATCCGCTGGATAATCGAAAAAGCAAGAGAGTGCCAGAAAAACATCTACTTCTGCTTCATTGACTATGCCAAAGCCTTTGATTGTGTGGATCATACCAAACTGTGGAAGATTCTTCAAGAGATGGGAATACCAGACCACCTGACCTGCCTTCTGGGAAACCTGTATGCAGGTCAGGAAACAACAGTTAGAACTGGACATGGAACAACAGACTGGTTCCAAATAGGGAAAGGAGTATGTCAGGGCTGTATATTGTCACCCTACTCATTTAACTTATATGCAGAGTACCTCATGAGAAACACTGGGCTGGATGAAGCACAAGCTTTAATCAAGATCGCTGGGAGAAGTATCATTAACCTCAGCTATGCAGATGACACCACCCTTATGGCAGAAAGTGAAGAACTGAAGAGCCTCTTGATGAAAGTGAAAGAGGAGAGTGAAAAAGTTGGCCTAAAGCTCAACATTCAGAAAACTAAGATCATGGCATCTGGTCCCATTACTTCATGGCAAACAGATGGGGACACCATGGAAACAGGAAGAGACTTTATTTTCTTGGGCTCCAGAATCACTGCAGATAATGACTGCAGCCATGAAATTAAAAGACACTTCCTCCTTGGAAGAAAAGCTATGACCAACCTAGACAGCATGTTAAAAAGCAGAGACATTAGTTTGCCAACAAAGGTCCATCTAGTCAAAGCCATGGTTTTTCCAGAAGTCATGAATGGATGTGAGAGTTGGACTATAAAGAAAGGTGAGCACCAAAGAATTGATGCTTTTGAACTGTGGTGCTGGAGAAGGCTCTTGAGAGTCCTTTGGACTGCAGGGAGATCCAACCAGTCAATCCTAAAGGAAATCAGTCCTGAATATTCATTGGAAGGACTGATGTTGAAGCTGAAACCTGAAACTCCAATACTTTGGCCACCTGATGCGAAGGACTGACTCATTTGAAAAGACCCTGATGTTGCGAGATTGAGGGTGGGAGGAGAAGGGGACGACAGAGGATGAAATGGTTGGATGGCGTCACCAACTCGATAAGCATGAGTTTGAGTAAGCTCCAGGAGTTGGTGATAGACAGGGAAGCCTGGTGTGTTGCAGTCCATGGGGTCACAAAGAGTCGGAAACGACTGAGCAACTGAACTGAACTGAGTAGGCTGAAGTGATCAGGCAGTAACTGTGGTGCCTGACGTGGTGGAAGATAAGGTTGGAAATGCAGATATTGACCAAACTCTGAAGTGCTTTAAATCAAGATGAGGGATGTTTACTTCTCTGGTTTCCTAGAAAGTTTTTTGAGTGTGGATGTGAAGTTAAATTTGATTTGGAATGCACTGCTGGTGTCATGCTGTGGGATGGGTTGCAGGGCAGAAGAGCTGAAGGTAGTGATACAGGTCAACTGAAACTGTAATGGAGAAGCAGAAAGTTGAGGAGGATTCGCAGGCACAAAACTGCCAGGAGTTGACTTGGTGGGTGATGAGCTGGCTAGAGTGAAGATACCAACCAGAATTTTAAACTTAAGTAACTGAGATGATGGTGTTACCTTTCACTAGAGTGGAGAGGAGTTGATGTGAAGTCATAGTTGAGTTTTTTCTTGAACATATTAAATAGAAGGTGAATGAGATAGTCCTGTAAATATCCTGGGTCTAGAGCTGGAATTTGAGCTAGAGACATTGATAGTTATCTCCCTAGGAAAGATTGTTGAATCATGAAATTAACAGAGTGAAAAATAAACTGAACGGGGAATTCCCTGGTGGTCCAGTCGTTAGGACTCGGTGCTTTCATCACAGTGGCCTGGGTTCAATCCCTGGTTGGGGAACTAAGATCTTGCAAGCTGCACAGTACAACAAAACAAAACAAAAGAACCCACTAAACACATTAAAAAATAAACTGAATACTTTGAAAAGGGGTGTAGCCACCGAAGGCCAGTGAGGAGCTGTGATCCTACACATTGGAAGAGAACCTAGAGAAGGACAAGGCTGCCCCGGAGGGCGCTGTGGTGGAGAGTAGACTTCAGAGGGGCTGTGCAGTGAGTGCTGGCAGTTATGCAGCACCCACATCACAAAAGGAAAACAGGAAATGAGTTGGAGGGAGCACGTGTCATTTACTTGTGGATAGGTTTGCCGATAGTGGCCTCAGGGGGAAAATAAGAGTTGTGGGAAATTTTCTAGTCAGTTAATCTATTCACATATATGAAAGTTATAGAAGCTTGATATTTAAGAATAGAGCAAACCATACAAGGGAATAGGAACAGTTTAGAATCTTTTAGCCTTCTCTTCCACCCCCCCACCCCAACATACACACATATCCAATCTCCATTTACCAGTGGAGATAATTACCTGAAAGTTGAGTGATTCGAATTCCCAGACACTGAATAGGCTTTACTTTTGAAGGATGGCAGTCTTACTTTAGTCTAGCATGGTAATTCTCAAATTTGTATGTGAAAGTTACTGTATGTGACACCATTAAATGCTGGCAAGGATGCAGAAAAACTAGATCACTCATCCACTGCTGCAGGTAAAATGGTACAGCCACTCTGGAAAATAGTGTGGTGGTTTCTTATGAAGAAACACATACACAGAGATTAATGAGTGTGAGTAAAACTGGGGAAAATATAAATAAAAATTGATGGGTGACAGCAACATCAATATCTTGCTTATGATAGTGTGCTGTAGTGATTTGCATGTTGTTTTTTGAGAGACACTGGATCTCTCTGTAGTCTTAAAACTGCGTGTGAATCTGTATCTCAAGTTTTTTTTGTTTTTTTTTTTTAACAAAACAGGAAACAGACCAAAAGATTACTGTATGAGTTGTATATGCACAACCATGTAAACCGCTTTATGGGCATACTCAGTTTGGGAGGTCATTTTGACTGCCTGACTTTTCATCTCACAAGTGAACTCAAGTGACTCCATTAGACCAGAGAAATTGAGATTCAGAGTCCTCATGGAGGAGCCAGCCTTAGAAAGGAGAGAAGCACGATTATATCTGAAGCTGAGAAGAGGGGATAAGGAATCCTGCAGAGGAAGTTGGCTTTGTGGGGAAAGTTGAGCAATTGATAGAGCAGTATGAGTGATGATGAAGCCATCTAAGACAGCAGGACGTGGATGGGGTGACTTCGGGGAGGGCAGAGGAGGTTTGACACAAATGTGCAGATGAGTGGCATGGGCCCAGCTAAGGCTGGCTGCATAAGCAGTGTGCTCTTCTTCCCATTCTTAGGGCTCTTAGACCTGGAGATCCTGGATTCTGCGCCCGGGCAAGGGTCCCCATGCCCTCGAACAAGGACTATGTTGTCAGGCCCAAGTGGAATGTGGAAATGGAATCATCCAGGGTAAGTAATCAGTCCAGGGACAGCAAGGTGGATCTGAAATGCAGATTACTGTCTGTCTTTTACTTCATGTTTGAGAACCCTTAAGCAGCTCTTAAAGTTTATCTAATTTGAAGAGAGCTATTTTCTCTTTTATCTAGCCATATAAAGACCATTATTACTGGTGAGCATTAGTTCAGACTTTAAGAAACATTATCAGTTGGGAAGTTTCTTCATATTAACTCCTTTTATTTCAACTGAACCTTGAAGGCTAGAGTGTTTTGGTGTAGTCTCTTTTTTTAGAACCCTAGGAAACAGAACTCACCTGCTTTTGCAGCCCACCCCTCCCTTCCTGTTTAGCTGTTTTTAAGTCAGTCTGTTATGGAGGGTTTAGGGTAGACGCTGTCACCATCACCGTAAATACTAGTCGGTGATCCTCATTGCTGCTCAGTAATCTTTCTTTATTCTCCATTCAAACTGCTCTTTCTAGCCTGGTATTCTTAAAAAGGGCCTAAGCCGATTGGAAAAGCATAAGAGGAGATTTGCAGAACAGAAACGACTCAGCAAAGTGCACCGTGCTGTCAAGTTCAGCATTGAAGGCAACAGGATGCCCCTGTAGGCCGGGCCCTGCCAGAGCGTTACCTGGGAGGTATCCCCAAGGAAGCATGCTCTGCATGGGCTTGAGCAGCTAGAGTGGAAACAAGTGTGTGCGTGCTTTCCTAACCAGAAAAGGCCAGGACCTCTTTAGTTCTGAAATAATGACCGTGCCAGGCACCCAGTGACATTCTAGTCATCCTGAATATTTAGAAATTGATTTGAGGTTCCCTTCCTTTATCAGTCAGAGAAGGCAATGGCACCCCACCTACTCTTGCCTGGCAAATCCCATGGATGGAGGAGCCTTGTAGGCTGCAGTCCATGGGGTCACTAAGAGTTGGACACAACTGAGCGACTTCACTTCACTTTCCTTTATCAATACCCCAGTACATAATTACCTCACTGATAGATATTTTGGTCTTTCTGCCTGGTACCCTTTTTATTAAAAAGGTTTTTGTCAGGGCCCAGAATCAGAGTGGCTGCTCTGCCTTACAGGCATATAAGCTGGTTAGTAACATCCAGGTGGAAGGGAGGTGGCTTCCTGTTGTCATTGGCTCAGTAACCTGCCTTTGAGGGCTCATTGCATAAGTCCTGACACTGAATACTTAGGAGATAAATATAACTAATATACAGTTGGTCCATGGCTAGAGATGAAGACGACTTTGGAACATTCACAAAGCCAGACCTGCTGACCTGCTGTGCTCCCCGGTTACCAGCAGCACTCTGCTGCAGTGAACAGTTGAGAGTCTTAAGTGTGTTGTCTGTCCTCTGTGACCCCTACTTGGGCAGCTGTTTCCACAGACACACTCACTTTCCCACAGGTTCACTTTGCTATTAAGCTACTATCAAGACCAAGCACACAGTCTTGTTTATTGAGAATAAATAAAGGGTAGAAGAGCACTGGTTCTGTGCTAAGAATTCCTTCATCTCTGCTTCCTTCCCTGTTTTCTCCCCACTACCCTTCCTTTTGGTCACACCTGTGGGTTCTCAGTTTTCTGACCAGGAATTGAACCCGGGCAGTGAAAGCCTGTGGAGAAGGCAATGGCAACCCACTCCAGTACTCTTGCCTGGAAAATCCCATGGGCAGAGGAGCCTGGTAGGCTGCAGTCCATGGGGTCACGAAGAGTCAGACACGACTGAGCGACTTCACTTTCACTTTTCACTTCAATGCACTGGAGAAGGAAATGGCAGCCCATTCCAGTATTCTTGCCTGGAGAATCCCAGGGGCGGTGGAGCCTAGTGGGCTGCCATCTAAGGGGTCGCACAGAGTCAGACACGACTGAAGCGACTCAGCAGCAGCAGTGAAAACCTGAAGTCCTGACCATAAGGCCACCAGGGACGTCCCCTCCTTCCCTTTTCTCTTCTGTCTATTTCTGTTTCTCCTTCCCCTCCCCACCACCCCTGTTTTTCTTTACCTTTGCTATTCTCACTGTCTCTTCCTTTCTTTTATTCTTCTCTTTCATACTATATTTTCTTCCCCAGCACACTTATTTTAGAAAATCAGGATCTACAATAGGGCAGGGAAAAATGTAATAAGAAATTGTAGTGGCCAGTCTTCTTTGGAAGGGCATGTGCCTGTCTGCAGGTGTTGATAGTTTGGATCCCACCCTCCCTGTAGGTGTTGGGGAGGTGGGAAGAGGTGGCCCGGCCTCCTGCTAGACTGAGCCATGACCAGCCTGAGGAGAGGGGAGTTCAGAGTTCTTGTCCAACATTCCCAAGATCAAAATGGACTGTTATTTATCTTGGCCTGTCTGGCTTATACAGCTCTGTCCGAAAAATAATAATAAGGCATGTTTTGGGAGCTGGTCTCGTAGCTCAGTTGTTAAAGGATCTGCCTGGAATGCAAGTGACCTGGGTTTGATCCCTGGGTTGGGAAGATCCCCTGGAGAAGGAAATGGCAACCCACTCCAGTATTCTTGCCTGGAGAATCTCATGGACGGAGGAGCCTGGCAGGCTACTGTCCATGGGGTTGCAAGAGTTGGACACAACTTAGTGACGAAACTACAAACCATCACCTCCCATGTTATATTTCAGTAAATTGTCCTGACACTGTTTCTCTATTAAGATTTCTTACATATTCCCTCAAGACTCTCACACTGTACAGACAGTAATGAGTATTACTGGAAAACATGCTTCCTAAGAGAAAACTGGAGTGAATTAATGGCTTTCACGTGAAATTCTTTTTGTTTTAAGTGTAATTTTATTTTTTAAATTACATGAGTAAATATACTGTAGAATAAACACCCTTCCCCAAAGTTCTATTCTTCCTCCATGTAAAGCACCGTTAATAATTTTGATGTATTAAATGTATTTTCAGTAATGTTTTAAACTTAGTTTTTCCTGCTTATAATTGTAGAAAATTTTGAGATTATAAAAAGGAAAATCACTCACCACTCAAAAGCAATTTGACAAAAATTTTGCCTTGTTTTCTATTGATATTTTAATATAATTAAAATTATATTTATATAATTTTGATCATTTCCTCACATTAAACCACCTTACATATTTATCATTTGTAATGGCTGCATAAGCCTATCATGTAAAAATATATTAATAATTTGTTCATTCTTCTATGGTTTCTGATTTTTCACTTCTAAATCAATAACCTGCACTACATTGTATGTTTATATGCTAATTTATTCCATGGAATGCTTTTAAAATAACATTTAAATGACAAAGCAGTGCATGTTTTTATATAAATCTTTAAATACAAAAAGCACAAATAAACTTACTGTCACTTGTAATCCCACCACACCTTATATTAACATTCTGGGTTATTTCTTTAATCCTTTATATACGTGTGCATAAACATATTATTACTGGTTTGGGGTTTCTTTTGTTGTGGTGGTAGTGTTTTAACTTTTAAACAAAATTGTGATCATTTTCTTTTATACCTTGTTAGGTTTGTGTTTTACTTAACGTGGTAAAAATTCATTTGAGTAAACATTCTTCAGTGACTAAATATTGTATTATAATATGATTGTACCATATTTTTTAAAGCAAACCTATCTTGCTAATCTTTTAGGCTACTTTTGATTTTTCACTGATAAAGTGGTGCAGCATTCAGTTTTATTGTCCTAGGGTGTAGGGTTAAGAAATCAAGAGAGAAGTTATTGAATTTGACATGCTAGGTACTCAGTTTTGTGTGTTTTCAGACTTGGGGTAACCAGGCATTTGCCAGCTACGGATCTTATTATCTATAACAAGGGGTAGATCAGTGCAGCCTGGGCATGTCCCAGTTGCTGAGGTTAGAGGGCTCAAATTCTTACAGAATGTGCTGGGAGTGGACAGGAAGTCCAGGCTGATGTGTAGAGCTGCTGGGGGTTGGGCAGTGGGCAGAGATCTGAGCAGGTAAGGCTTCCAGTGTGCACTGACTGCATATACTGAAAATCGGGGCACATTGTCTGAAAGGAAGTCAGATACTTGGGACTGTCCAGAAATCTGGGGTATTGCATAGGGCGATAGTTCTTTCTTATCTGGTAATGAATTTTACACCCCTTCACAGGGCTAGTGCCAAATACTAAAAGTGATGTTAATATAATATTTGTAATTGGGATGTACATAGAAATCTAGGATGGATATCAATGTAGCTCTTACTCAAGAATGATTTATTAGAGATCCTTGCTTATATCCGAGGTAGAAGCTGAATCTAAAGGTGAGATAAGCCTAGGGGGGGGTTCCCCAACTCAAAAGAACTTCACCACACTAGTACCAGCCCTAAAGTATCTCCTAGTCTCTACCTTATTTTAGCATTCTTTGGATTAAGCTTCACAGGTGATTCAGTAGTAAATTTCTGGGGAAAAGAACTGAAAGAACTCGTCTGTTTTTAACTACTCAGCATTCATGAAGATTGGGATTGCTGGCATTACTGTACCAAACAAGAAGAGTTTGCCCTGATCCAACATAAATGGCAGACCTTTTCAGCATTTCCTAAAGGTGCCAATTTCTTGGAGACCACACTTTTTCGAAACCTAACAGTCTTTTCAAAATACAGAAGAAATTACCTAACAACAAATCTTTAACCATAAAAGGGCAAGTAGAAAGAGACTACAAGAAGTAGTAAGCCCCTTGGATCAAGAGACTTAATTTACTTTTCTTTTTGTGTCAAACTGATTGCAAAGTAATAGTAATAGTAGTAGTAGCTGATGTTTATTTTAAGCCCTGATTGTGTGCTTGTATTTGTTATTATTACCTGATTCACTTCTCCCAGCAGTCCTGGAAGTCATTCAGACAAGGGGCATCATTTGCACAGGGTTATAGAACCCTGACTATTTCTAATCTGAAACTAGAGCTCCAGCAAGCACTTAGCAGTTCTGATCTCATTTGTTACGCTTAGGGTTTTTTGTCAATGACTTTCCTTGCTTTAGAAGATCATAATTTTTTATGCCAACACTGTTTGAACTTGTGTATGTCAAATGGTCACCTCCATATGTGGTCTTTGAAAGGGAAAAGCATACAATCAAAATGTAATCTGATGAATTAGTTTCATTCCTCCCCCATTTCTCTGTTCTAGCAAATTTCTGTGGACTTGAGGCAAAACTTAAAAATACGGCACAGATAACAACAAAATTATTCTTCTCTGAGAGAGCTTAATATGCATTTCTGACACTGCTGTGTATACTTGCTCTGTTGTTCCTGAGGTCACCAAAGCTTATTCTGGTTATTCCAGAGCTGGGAACTCTTCAGTCTGATGACTTTCAGATAAAAGAAGATTAAAGACAAAACTAAATGTATGTATGTATCAGTAATTTGCTGTTTAATTTTTACCCCACTCTTAGTTTCAGGGGACCTCCAAGAAGGGTATCAGTCGACTGGATAAACAGATGAGAAAGTTCACAGACATCAGGAAAAAAAGCAAATCTGCACACGCAGTAAAAATCAGCATCGAGGGCAATAAAATGCCCTTGTGACTGCCTGGGAGGTTCCCCATCGCTACTCTTAAGAAATGCGCAATGAACTCTTTGGAGAAAGATGATATTTTAAAAACTTTTTTAGTGTACCTGTAAATGATTCAGCTTGTATCAAATGTCATAGGATTCGCATTTCTCTCAGTTATATTTAAAACCATTTGTTGTGCACTTTGTACAGAAGAATAGTAGTCATACTTCTATAAACTTTACACAATAAAATTCCATTCTGGTTTTGGGGGGCTGTCTCTTCATTGTCTTAAAGGGTGCATTCTCTACCGGGGTGAAAACTGGTTCTTGGTGAGTGGAGAAAAATTGTAGCTGTTACAGTGGTTGACCCTTCAAAATTCAACCTTCCAACTCTGGTATGGTTTGTCTGGCCTCCATCCTTGTTCCTCACTGTGCGCTTCTTAAGACCCTTGGGATTTCCTGGGTACTAGGAATGTCTTTGTGTTGCTAGTGAGGCGAGTCATGGTAGACCCCTGGATAACTAGGATGGGGGCTGGTCACCAGAAAGGACCTACCACACAGAGGGTTGGAATTTTGGGCAGGCTGCATGGTGGGTGGGTGGGGACCCTGGAGATTGACCTGACCTAGTTGTAATGCCCCATGTTGTAATCAGTCGTGCCCAAATAATGAAGCCTCAGTTAAAAACTCGAGACACTGAGGCTCAGTGGAGCTTCCTGACTAGTGAACTCTGATGTGATGCAATGGCGATGTGCCGCAGCGGCGATGTGCCTTGATTCCACAAAGAAAGGGTAAAGAAGCTCTGTGTTTCCTCCCAGAGCTTACCGAATCTTCCATGTGTCTCCATTTGGTTGATCCTCATTTGAATCCTTTATAATAAAACTCATTATAAGGAATTCCCTGGTGGCTCAGACGGTAAAAGCATCTACCTACAATGCGGGAGACCTGGGTTCGATCCCTGGGTCGGGAAGATCGCCTGCAGAAGGAAATGGCAACCCACTCCAGTACCCATGCCTGGAAAATCCCATGGACGGAGGAGCCTGGTGGGCTACAGTCCATGGGGTCGCAAAGAGTTGGACACGACTGAGGGACTTCACCTTCACTTTCACTTCCAATTATAAGGGCAGTGCTTTCCAGAGTTCTGGGAATCATTTTGGCAAATTCTTGAAAGTGCAGGAATTATGGGAACCCCCAGATTTGTAAGTAGTCAGACGTTGGGAGGGACTCCACTTTCAGGCATCATCTCAAATGTGGGTAACGTGTGGAGGACAGACCCTAAACCTGTGGAGTCGGATTCTGACTCCAGGTGGTCAGTGTCAGAATCAAATGGCAATATCTTAGTGGGGATTGAAACAAAATACAAAGTCATCTTAGTATTTCTCTTGTTAAGGAAATTTTTAATTACTTAATTTCAGTTAGTTTAAATTTCTTTTCTTCTTGGGGGAGGGGGTTTCCTGCAATTTGAAAAAAAGGTTAAGAAGTACTATCTAAGAGGAAACATGGACACAGTTGAAAATGGCTATAATTGCTGATGAGCAGGCAGGCAGTTGAGATAGGGAATAGTATAACTTACAGCTCTATAGCTCTATTTTTGTGATACTTTAAAGGCATTTTTATAGTCTCTGCAGACTTATTTGTGAGAAATCTCATTAATCAAGATGACTAAATGCAAGAATAATTGATTTTAATTATAGAAATCTTATGTTACAAATTGGGGAAGGGTTATCTGGGACTGTTGATATTCAGAAACACATGAGATTGTTGATACAAGTCCTTGAACAACCAAAACATGAAGTTTGTGCACTTATAAAACCCTTACTTTCAATAAATTTAAAAGTACAAATGTGATCGTTGTAAAAAGAAGGTAGTTAAAGATAGAGGTAATAACTAACCACTAGGTGGAGGTGGAAGAACAGCTATTACCTGCAGCGTCATTTTTGTATCATACTCTGAAACCCTTGTGAGAACAAGCACAGCCATCTACTGAAGCAGATGTTGATGACCTTGATCGTTAAAAATTCTAAACAAGAAAAGTAAAGTAGCACTTTAAAAAGACTTGAAAGCTATTGATGCACCATTCTAGCATTTAAAGTGTTAAGTCCCAGTCATCTAAAAATTTCACCTATTTAGGGTTAAAATTCGTGTGGTGCCAGGTGTTAATGTGATAATCATACCTGAAAAATTATAAATGTCAAAAAAAAATACTATTTTCTGTATAAAATGGCCATTGCTGCATGGTTTATTTTAGTTTCAAAACTGGCCAAGAATAGCCTTGTTTTCTAAATTGGAAATAGTTCTAATTTACAATAGTGTTGCAAGAATGGCAAAATAAACCCCATATACATTTCATCTCTGTACAGCAAGTGTTAACATTCTGCCACATTTGCTTTATCACAAAAGTGTAACTTGCTTACAGCTTGCCTCTTGATCCCCAAATACTTAAGCATATTTCTTTCTAAAACAAGGACCTTTAGTTTGTCCCGGTGTTGGTGGTGGTAACTTTGACCACATGGATGCAGTGATGCAGAATCACATTTATTTTTTCAGTTAACAAGTTTTAATTGTTGATTAATTTTAATGTGGGGAAATTGTGTGTGAATATGTAAAATACCCATAAAATTTGCCATCATAGAGGACAGTTTTTAAGTATGCAGTTGGTGGCAATACAGTATTCACTTTGTTGTGCAACAATCACTATTTTCCATCTCCAGAAATCTCAGCTTGAAAAACTGAAACTACCCTTTGGACAGTCACTCCTTTCTCCCCTCTCCCCTTAGCCTGGCAGCCATTCCACTTTGTCTCCAATTTTGGCTGCTCTGGGTATCTCATGTAAGTGGAATCATACATTACCTTTTTTGACTTGATCACTTAGCATACTGTTCTCAAGGTTCATCCATGTTGTACCATTCATTTTAAGGTTGAATAATAATCTATTGTCTGTATATACCACCTTTTGTCAATTCATTTTGTTGACAGACACTTAGGTTGCTTCCACCTTTTGGCCATTGTGAACAATACTGCCATGAACATGAGTACACAAATACTTCTTTTGAGACCCTACTTTCAGTTTTTTCAAGTATATACCCTGAAGTGGAAATGGTGGATCATATGGTAATTCTATGTTTAATTTTTTGAAGAACCACCATACTGTTTTCCATAATGGCTATATCCTTTCACATTCTCACCAACAGGACCAATTTGTCCACATCCTCACCAACGCTTTTTGATAGTAGCCATCCTAATAGATGTGAGATTGTATTATATTGTAGTTTTGATTTGTATTTCCCTAATAATTAGTAGTACTGAACATTTGTATTCTTTTGGGGGCTTTGGATATCTTCTTTGAAGGAATGTCTTCAGATCCTTTGCCCATTTTAAAAGTAAGTTTTTCCTTGTTGAGTTGTCAGAGTTCTCTGTATTCTGGATAACTTTATTAGATTTGCAATTTTTTCCCCATTTCTTGGGTTGCAGTTTCACTGTTGTACCCTCTGACACACAATTGATTTTAATTTTGATGTAGTTCAGTTTATTTGTGTCTGCTTTAATTGCCGGTTCTTCTGTGGTGTCTGAGAAATAATTGTCAGATCTGATGTCATGAAGCTTTTCTTATATTTTTTTATAAGAGTTTTATCTCGTATTTAGGTCTTTGATCCATTTTGAGTTAACTTGCATTTGATTTAAGGTAAGCATACACTTTTTTTTTTTTACATGTGAATATCTAGTTTTTAAAACACCATTTGTTGGAAATATTGTCCATTCCCATGAATGATCTTGGCACCCTTGTCAACAATTATTTGACCATGTGTGTCTATTATGTCTTTTTCTGGACTCTTATCAGTATGCCTGTCTTTGTGCCAGTATACCACTTTGACTACTGTAGCTTTGTATTAAAATTTTAAATCAGAAAGTGTGGGTCCTTGTACTTAATTCTTTTTTTTAGACTGTTTTGGCTATTTGGGGGTCATTTGAAATTTTGTTTGAATTTTAGAATGAACTATATTTTTCTGTAATCAACATCATTTGGGTTTTGATAGGGATTGTATTGGTTTGGTAGATCACTTTGGGTAGTATTGACATCTTAAGAATCTTCCAATTTATGGATGGACACATAACGTCTTTATGTTGTCTTTTGTAACTTCTTTCATCAACTTCGTGTAGTTTCCAGTGCACAAGTCTTTCTTTCACCTCCTTGGTTAACTTTAGTCCTAAGTATTTTATTCTTTTTGATGCAGTTGTAAATGAAATTGTTTTCTTAATTCCCTTTTAGGATTTTTCATTGTTAACGTAGAAATACAACAGATTTTTACATATTAATTTTATATCATTCAACTTTGCTAAATTTGTTCATTCTAATGTGTGGGTGTGGGGTGTAGAGTCTTTTGGCACATCTACGTATAAGATTATGTCTACCAATAGATTTTGTTTATTTCCAATTTGGTTAACTTTTTTTTTCTTAGGTAATTGCTCTGGCTAGGACTTCTAGTACTGTTTGATTAGAAGTCTCAAAAATGGGCATCCTGGGACTTCCCTGGTGGTCCAGTGGTTAAGAATCCGCCTGCAATGCAGGGGATGTGGGGTTGATTGCTGGTCAGGGAGCTAAGACCTCACATGCCACAGAGCAACAAAGCCTGGGCACCACAAATAGCCTGTGCACTACAACAAAAGATCCTGCCTGCTGCCACTAAGACCGGAAGCAGCCACATCAGTCAACCCAATAAATATTTTTTAAGTGGGCATCCTTAATTTTTCCTGATCTTAGAGGAAGAGCTTTCAGTTTTCCACCACAGAGTATGATGTTATCCGTGGGCTTGTCATGTATGGCCTTTATTATCTTGTTATAGTTTCCTTCCATTCAGTTTGTTGAATGTTTTTTATCATGAAAAGATGTTGAATTTTGTCAAACACTTTTTCTGCATCAATTAAGATGGTCATGTGGTTTTTACCCGTTCTGTTAATGTTGTGATGTATTACACTAATTGATACTTGTGTTTTGAACCACAAAGTACATAATTCTTTTATGTACTGTTGAATTTTGT